TCCTAAAAATTTTATTGAACTTTTCAAAAATCAAGTTCTTGGTTTCATTGATTTTCGTTATTGTTTTTTCTATTTTGTTGATTTAAGTTCTGATTTTTATTATTTCCTTTCTTTTACTTAATTTGAACTTAATTAAAAAAATTTGTAGTTACTGACAGTGGAAGCCATAATCATTGTTTTGAGAACTTTTTCTTTCCTAATGTGCATTTAGTGCTGTTCATTTTCCCATAAGAAGTGCTTCAGTGACATCCTGCAAATTTTGATAAGTTGTTGTGTTTTCATTTTTATTTAATTCAATATATTTTGAATTTCTCTTTGGTTTCTTCTTTTACCTATTGTTTATTTAGAATTATGTAATTTAGCTTCCAAATTCTGGGGTTTTCCAGAGATCTTTCTGATATTGACTTCTTTTTTTTTTATTTTTCCTGTTATTGACTTCTAAGTTAATTATTTTGTGGTCAGTAAGCATACTCTGTATGACTCAAATCTTTAAAAGTTTATTGAGATTTTTTGGGGGGCCTAGAATATGGTCTATCTTGGTAAATATTCCAGACTGCATTAGAAAAGAATGTTTATTCTGCTGTAGTTGGATGAAGTGTTCAACAAATGTCAATTAGATCAAATTGGCTGATTTTCTGTCTAGTAGTCTATCAGTTATCGACATATTATTAATTCAAGTTAGATGAAAAGGAAGATGGGTTTAGTTCATTAATCTCTCCTGGTGTCTCTATGTGAAAGAAGGTGTAAAATTCCTCCCAGGAGTGACTTAGCATGCCTTAAAATTTGGTAAGACTCTTTAAGGCACCCACATAAACATGTTGTCTAAATAAAAACAAGGTGCTTGTTATGAAAACACAGCTTCCTGGCAAATTATTTTTCCATTCCCTCCATTCCTCTTCAACCTTACTATATTCCCTGTAATAGTTCTATATAAATTCTGGAGTTTCCACTGTTGGGTAGTGGTATATTAGTTATTATGGGGTTCACATCCTTTGGTATTGTAATATAAAAAAAAGATTGAAATATTCTTGAAAGTTCTGAAGAAGTACATGAAGAGACATTGACTGTCAAGTTTTTGAACACAAAAATTGGACAAATGGTTTAGGGAACACCTGCATTATGGCACACATCTGGAGTTCAGTAGAATGGTGAGTTCAGGGTGGTAAAACTTGCTGCTAAAAATACTGTCTAGTTTTTTTTTTTAATACATTTTTTTTAAAGATTTTATTTATTTATTTGACAGAGATCACAAGTAGATGGAGAGGCAGGCAGAGAGAGAGAGAGAGAGGGAAGCAGGCTCCCTGCTGAGCAGAGAGCCCGATGCGGGACTCGATCCCAGGACCCTGAGATCATGACCTGAGCCGAAGGCAGCGGCTTAACCCACTGAGCCACCCAGGTGCCCACTGTCTAGTTTTTTATTTTGTCCCTCACAGTTGACACAAATAACTGAGAGATAATTGAGAGCTAAATCTATTGTCTTATGCACTTTTGCACATCTAGCTATCTTACAAGAACTTTTGGTATTTTGAATATCTATTTTTAAAATGTAATTTGAATACTACAAAATTGATACATTTTCAGCTTCACATGACTGTTTATTTAGGTCAGAGAGATTTCATATGAGTTACTATTTATATATGCTAAAGACCCCTCAGGCAATGTCAGGCTGTTGCATGTGGACAGCTTCTTGAATTATAGCACAGAAACTTTAATACCTACCTCAGGAATGATAGGAGTCTTAAATAGGCAGTCATATTTACTAAAGAAACCTAGAGTTTTCTTAGATTGCCAACCTTAGTAAGACAAGAAATGTCAGGGTGATAGAGTTTAAGTGGCTCTTTTCAGATATGTTACATTGATTCTCTATATTTAAGACGCAAAACAGCCTTCCAGGAGCTATTTAATTAAGTGAAAGTAAGTCTAGTCCCTTTGGAACCAAATGGTTCAGTGAACAAATACATGTCAGTATGTGAAGGAAGTGGGGGAAGTTATTATGTGCTTCATAGACATGGTGACACTTTATAACCCCATATCAGGGATCCTAAACAGTGATTGGTTGAGAAAATTATCAAACTGAGTTTAAATTTCAGCAAGTACAAAATTGTCACGCAAATGTCCAGGACAGTGAGCCACTCTCAGTCTTCAATGCGAAAGATAAGAAATCCTGGATTTTCAAAGTCCCTTTGAAGGCTTTTAAGGTAAGATGAAATCTCGTCTTTACTCAGAACCAACTGATTCCTGTAGAAATTTTAATTTCAGAGAAGAAGCTGACTTGATTTTATGAAGTGAATAATCCTTATGCTTAGATTTTTTCCTTCCCCTTTGACTTGGCAAATCAAGACTACATGTTAAAAGATAACAGAAAATTATATGGTAAGGGATGCTAATTCCATCTAGCAAAATATTGGATCACTGAAAAATAAGAATTTTATTACAGCCATTACGTTAAAATATCAGTTGCTAATAGGAAGAGAATACATAAGATGAAGCAAATATTATAAATCTAAAATATTAACAATGAAATAAGAAATTAGAATATTTTACACATAATTCATGATAGCTCCATTACTGTTATTTTTATCTACAAAAACCATCTTTAAGAATCTTGAATCTAATTAAAGACATTTTTTAGCCTTACCATTGCAATATAAGATGTGATGGCATTTAATAAATAAGTAAAGACACAATCTCTTCCAATCTCAAATAGTGACGATAGTGACATTTAAACACTGACTTGGGAAATAAACATGGATTTGGGAATTTCAGTCAACACATTATAGTACATTTACTTCAAAGCTTGGCTAATCCATTTAGTGATAAGCTCCATGAGGGTAGGGCTCATATCTATTTCCAGGGCTCAGTATCTGGTCCATGATAGTTCTTCAAATGTTGAATGAACGACTGCATCCCAGTTTACATTTATTTTTTGGTCCCTGAATCACCAAACTTCAGCCTAAAATATCAGGTATTTTTTGCCAACTGACATGAGGGTTTTTAAAGCTAGATTAAAATATGTCTACTTAAGATATCTGGAAATTCTGACCTCTATCCCATACATTTTCTGTTTCATGACATCATAACAGGTTTAGAAAATGAAAGAGGTTTTGGGCTGACAAAACTGGGGCCATTTCTTTAGCAGTCTTTTGAGCTGTTTACCTACCTGAGAATATAGTGGCAAGCATCACGGTGCACTATGCAATTGTTCTGGAGTGGGTCTGAAAGAGAACCAAAGTAGTCAGATTGCAGGATTGTGGTTTAGCATGGACTGCACATAACCGTGACCTTCACCACAGGTACCTTTCTAGGACACCATGGTTGTCCAAATGGACACCATGGTCCAAATAAGTGTACACCAGACTTCAGCAGAGTCTATGTAATAATTAGGCTTAGTACTGCAAAGTTCTGTATGGTACCTGCTTACTAAACAGCTACCCTTCAACATCTGTGCCCCAGAGTAAGCCCATTTTTTTTTCCTCTCGGAAATCATGTCCTCTCTCCTGTAAGGAAGTGCCAATAATTCTATGACAGTTAATATTCACTAAAATTTTATTATGTTTCCATAATCAACATTAAATTCAATCAAAGCTATTTTATGACATGCATTATTTTAATCTATAAACTCAGTGGGAGTTCATGAAATAGGAGTAAAACTCTTTCTTCCTTTCTGTGGTAATAGTATCATTACACCAAGAAATCTAATTTTCAGTAATGGTAATTTAAATTTTTGATTCACATGGACTATACAATGTCTATTCCAATGTATCAAAATATATATTATACCATTTCTGAATGTGAACTCTAACAGGAATAAAGGATCATGTTTTTAGAAGCTCCATATAATAATTGCTATCATTTATAAAGGGATTGCTAAATATCCAGAACACTGCTAAGTATGCTTATACTAATAAGTGTTCACCAACAATATTCATAAAACAGCTCTTTCTGTGCTATGTATTAGAATATAGTGATTACAACACATTCTCCTAGGTTTCAGGAGTAGGTCAGAGAATATATAAGTAACCAGGTTATGTTAAAATGGTAGAATATGTTACCAGCGAGGTTTGCAGAAGTTTCTGGGTGTAAAAAGGATAGAGACACCAAATGCCCTTTTTTTTTTTTTTTTTAAGATTTTATTATTTATTTATTTGTCAGAGAGAGATCACAAGTAGGCAGAGAGGCAGGCAGAGAGAGAGGGTGAAGCAGGCTCCCTGCTGAGCAGAGAGCCTGATGTGGGGCTCGATCCCAGGACCCTGGAATCATGACCTAAGCCGAAAGCAGAGGCTTTAACCCACTGAGCCACACAGGGGCACAAAATGCCCTTTGAAAAGGAGTCAGAGAATGCTCCTCAGAGAAGACTCTTCTGCTAACATAATTGGTATAATCCCAAAGTGTAGGTATTATTATCCCAGATGGAGGGAACAAAGGCTTAATAAAACTACTTAAATTTCTCAAGTTCATGCAACAAGTAGCAGAGGTAGAACTTGAACCTAGGTCTCTAAATCCAAACTTCGTGTTCCTTCCACTAGCCAAGGCTACATGATGTTAGTAATTTCTTTCCTTCACAGTGTCCTATAGCCCACTTCTGTGGATTTGTGATGGGGATGATAAATGATTCCTCTTTTAGTGATAATCTTAGAATTAGTTAATACTTGATTAAAATTATTCAGAAAAAATGTTATCACCATCAAAAATAGCAAAACAAAGTCATGGTTGTATCCTTTGTAACTACATGGCTGTGTCCCTTCATTGGCATAGGCAGAAAAAGTCTAGTTAGCTACCCCAGTGCTGAGCCTGATGATGCCTCCGTATGTCTCTGGCAGCACTCCAGCTATGTTCTGTAACACTGAGTCTTGATAGCCTTCTTTTCATGTTGGATATATACTCCCTGCCCAGGAAAAAGTCAAAATAATACCTTACCATGGTTATCATCTTTTTCTTTATAAGTATTTTTTGCTGTTCTTTTTTCATTAAAAACAGGTTGATTAACATTCCTAAAGAAAATGAAGATAATTATATATTTTTGCATTTGGGCAGCAGCATGGGCTATTCCAGTAAGTATGTATTCCTCAGAAAATCTCCTCACTTTGTTATCTCTTTTAACCTAACATTAAATAATATGTATTTCCTTAAGACTTTGAAGACAAACTGTGCCTAAACATTTAAATTTGCATGAAAGACTTTATGAGATATCTTTAGGGGTCTCAACAAACCCAAATATGTACTCCAATTCATGTTCCCATTCCTCTAAACGAAACTAATATCTTGTCAGATGGATTATTACTATTAAAATTTATTCCGTTTGTGTTTGCTTTGGCAGCACATATACTAAAATTGGAATAATACAGAGAATATTAGCATGGCCCCCATACAAGGATAACACACAAATTTGTAAAATTCATTCAGATTTATATTCAATGCTCAAAGGTCATGGAGACTTCAGCCATCTTTGCTCATGCCCTGTGAATTTCATTATAATATCAGTGAAGCCTACATATTTTTAAAAAAGATTTTATTTATTTATTTGACAGACAGAGATCACAAGTAGGCAGAGAGGCAGGCAGAGAGAGAGAGGAGGAAGCAGGCTCCCCGCTGAGCAGAGAGCCCGAAGCGTGACTTGATCCCAGGACCCTGACACCATGACCCGAGCCAAAGGCAGAGGCTCAACCCACTGAGCCACCCAGGCACCCTGAAGCCTACATTTTAAAGGAAGTTTTCAAGGAATGATTTGGAAAAAATAAGGATTTTTTCAATGTAGGAGAAAATTAATGTTTCACTCAGATAATTTTTTTTAAATGCTCATTGGGGAAAATTTGGAATATACAGATAAACACCAACAAAAAAAAATTAGGAAAATTAAACCATTTGTAATTTTGTTACCCTGCTATGGGTAACATTTTGGTATGCTTTCATACTATCAAACAACTTGGTATTTATGCAGTTCAGAATTTTCTCAACTATTTCAAATGTGCTCCTGAAGGAGCGAAGTAGCATATTACTTTATTTTGTTTCTTCACTGGCTCTGGTCATACCTTGTATTTTCTTAGGGGTTCGGTCAGGATTATACTTAAGGTGGGTCTTGCGCTAGTGTGGGAGGTTTGTACAGAAACATTAAAGGTCTATCTCCTCATTTTTATAAAAGAAAATCCTCCTTGAGGTAAGTGTCTGGTTAATATCAATAAAATCAGTGATACCATTGTGAGAATTATCTGTATGCCCAGTTTAAATTCTACATAAGCTGTGTAACAAGCTTGATTAGATATTACTTTGGCCTTTGCATTATATATTTTTCTTCATTTAGAGAAAAATGTGTGTCTGTATGTATGTGTGCATGTGTGCATGCATTTATGTACACAAAGTTAGAATGTTTTCAATTTCCAACATTTTCATTTTGGTAGGTTCCTCAAATCAAGCCACTGGAGAGACATGCTGTTGACAAATCTACAAATTTAAATCTTCTGGAAAAAGCAAAAGTGCCAATACAGGTAATAGGGTACAAAATGTGTTTCTAAGCTGTTTTTAAATTCCTTTTTAAAAAATTATTTATTTATTTATTTATTTGAGAGAGAGAGAGAGAGAGAGAGAGATCACAACAGAGAGCATGAGTCGGGGAGGGACAGAGGGAGAGGCAGAATCCTCACCTAGCAGAGAGCCTGCCACGGGACTCCATCCCAGGACACTTAACCTACTGTGGCAGATGCTTAACTGACTGTGCCACCTAGATGCCCCTCAATTCTATTAACTTCCAGAAAACTGATGCTTACCTTTTCAGTCTGTTTTACTTCAAGATAAAATCTACAAAGTATTTTGAATTGTTTCTCTTTTCCAGGATGAGTTAAATGCCAATGATACCACTGAAGAAAGTGGTGACCCCCATGAAAATGAAAGAGGAAGGCAACAATATACTAGAGATGGTTACAAAGAAGAAAGAAATGGCTCTGAGTGGGTGGAAATAGGAAGGAAAAGTTCTTCTACAGATTCCATGTTAGTAAATGATGAGGGGAATAGTGTGGACCAAAATGGGGTCACAGGAAAACCAGAAACATATGGTTATGATGGGATACATGGAAAAGAAGGTAGCACCACAGCAAATGGCATCAGGGGACAAGTAAGCATCATTGGCAATGCTGGAATAGCAAATGGAAGCAATATTAATAGAAATGCTGATAAGAATTTAAACAATGGAAGAGTTGTTGGAGATGCAAGTCAGAGTGAGAATGTCACTGTTGTCCAAGAAGAAGACCATCAAATAGGTAGAAGCAATAACAGTACAGGCCATGAGGATGAAATAAATAGGAATGCCTGTAGAAATGAGGGTGATACAAGTGAAATAACACATCAGAGAGAAAGTGAGGGAAATGGGAATCAGGAGGCAGAAGTAACACCAGGAAGAAGTGGAGCTGGCAATGGAAAAGATGCTGGCCTGGATAATTCTGATGGGAGTCCTAGTGGAAATGGAGCAGAGGAGGATGAAGAAACAGGTTCTGGTGATGATGAAGGTGAAGAGACAGGGAATGGAAAAGAGGGTACTGATAACAGGAAGGGCCAAGAGGGTCAGCCTCATGGAAAAGATGACAATGATAACAGCTTAGGTCAAAATTCAATTAGTAGTGAAGATGATGACCCAGAAGACAAAGAAGATCCCCATGACATCGATGGAGACAACACCTCCAAGAGTGAGGAGGATTCTGATGGTATTTCTAAAGACAAAGTTAGCCCAATAATAGAGGACATGCAAAAGCCCAATTACGAAGAAAACAATGCTGTGGAAAAGAAAATCACTGATGAATCAGAGCTAGGTGCTACTGGGAAGAGTCAAGATCAGGTTAGTTTGTAAAGCTGATTTCTTTCAAACTGCAGTTTAAATTCTCCCCCTCCATTCATTGATGGAAACACAAAAATAAATCATAATAAGCATTCATCTGTTTTTGCACAGAAATTACTTGAATATTTAATGGGAAAGTTAGAGTCCCTATTAAACTCTGATACATAACAATTTTTTAAAAAGGTTTTATTTACTTATTTATTTGAGAGTGAGAGAGCACAAGTGGAGGGGGCATGGAGGAGCAGCAGAGGGAGAGAGAGAAGCAGACTCCTCACTGAGCAGGGAGTCTGATGTGGGTTTTGATATCAGGACTCTGGATCATGACCCGGGCCAAAGGCAGATGCTTAACTGACTAAACCACGTAGGTATCCCCAGAACAATTTTAAAAACAGACATTTCTGAAAATTTGGTTAGAATTCTATAAGCCTAATCATAATAACTGATGCACCTTGTAACTGTTCACACAAGTTCCTACTGTGTAAAAATGTGAATGGGTTGTTATATGATTTAAACACCAGAATTCTTGCAGGTGAATAAAGCATGTTTTTACAAACAGAAGTTTATGAAGTACTAGAAGCTGAACTTCTGTTTTTCTGGTCACATTCTGCAGTCTTGTCTTCCACAGACCAATGCAATTTTGCAGCATACCATCCATTAACTAATCATTCTTTTCTCCATCTTTCCCCAGGGAATAGAAATGGAAGGTCCCAGTAGTGGCAACAGAAACATTACCAAAGAAGCTGGGAAAGTCAGTGAAGATAAAGAGAGTAAAAGACAACAAGGAATGGTCATGGGGAAAGGAAATGTCAAGACACCAGGGGAGACTGACAACATACAAGGGCTTAGTCAGAAATCAGAACCTGGAAATAAGGTTACACGCAGCAAAACAGGTAGTGAAAGTAATAGTGATGGATATGACAGTTACGAGTTTGATGACAAATCTATGCAAGGAGATGATCCCAACAGTAGTGATGACTCTAACAGCAATGATGATGCTGATTCTGAAGGTGACAATGACAGCAATAGTCAAGGAGACACTGGTTATAACTCTGATGAATCAAAAGATAATGGCAATGACAGTGACTCAAATGGAGGAGGTGATAATGACAGTGATAGCACATCAGATGCTAATGATAGTGACAGTAATGGCAATGGTAACAACAGGAGTGATGCCAATGGCAAATCAGACAGCAGCAAAGATAAATCAGACAGTAGTGACAGCAGTGATAGCAGCGACAGCAGTGACAGCAGTGACAGTAGTGACAGTAGTGACAGCAGTGACAGTAGTGACAGCAGTGACAGTAGCAACAGCAGTGACAGCAGTGACAGCAGTGACAGTAGTAACAGCAGTGACAGTAGCGATAGTAGTGACAGCAGCGATAGCAGTGACAGCAGCGATAGCAGTGACAGCAGTGATAGTGATAGCAGTGACAGTAGCGATAGCAGCAATAGCAGTGACAGCAGTGACAGCAGTGATAGTGACAGTAGTGACAGCAGTGACAGCAGCGACAGTAGTGACAGCAGCGACAGCAGTGACAGTAGCGACAGCAGTGACAGTAGCGACAGCAGCGACAGCAGTGACAGTAGCGACAGCAGCGATAGCAGCGACAGCAGCGACAGCAGTGACAGCAGTGATAGCAGCGACAGTAGCGATAGTAGTGACAGCAGCGACAGCAGTGACAGTAGCGACAGCAGTGACAGCAGTGATAGCAGTGACAGTAGTGACAGTAGTAACAGCAGTGACAGTAGCGATAGTAGTGACAGCAGCGACAGCAGTGACAGCAGCGACAGCAGTGACAGCAAGTCAGACAGTAGTGACAGTAGTAACAGCAGTGATAGTAGTGACAGCAGTGACAGTAAGTCAGAGAACAGTGACAGCAGTGACAGCAAGTCAGACAGTAGTGAAAGCAATGATAGCAGTGACAGCAGTGATAGCAGCGACAGTAAATCAGACAGTAGTGACAGTAGTGATAGCAGTGACAGTAGTGACAGTAGTGATAGCAGTGACAGCAGTGACAGTGACAGTAAATCAGATAGTAGTGATAGCAGCAACAGCAAATCAGATAGTAGTGACAGCAGTGATAGTGACAGCAGTGATAGCAGCGACAGTAAATCAGAAAGCAGTGACAGCAGCAATAGCAAATCAGATAGTGACAGCCGTGATAGCAGTGACAGTAGTGACAGTGACAGTAAATCAGACAGCAGTGACAGCAGCAATAGCAAATCAGATAGTAGTGACAGCAGTGACAGTGACAGCAGTGACAGCAGTGAAAGTGACAGCAGTGATAGTGATAGCAGTGACAGCAGCGACAGCGACAGCAGTGACAGCAGCGACAGCGACAGCAGTGACAGCAGCGACAGCAGCAATGGTGACAGCAGTGACAGCAGTGATAGCAACAGCAGTGACAGCAGCGACAGCAGCAATGGTGACAGCAGCGACAGTGACAGCAGCGACAGCAGCGACAGTGACAGCAGTGACAGCAGCGACAGCAGTGACAGCAGCAACAGTGACAGCAATGGCAGTAGTACTGGTACATCTAACAGTAATAAGAGTCACAGCAAGACCAAGTCCGGTAATGGCAACAATGGAAGTGACAGTGAGAGTGACAGTGAAGGCAGTGACAGCAATCACTCAACCAGTGATGATTAGATTTTTTTTGAAAAGTCTAGTGAGTAATTGATAGGAAATGAAGATTTTCAAGGAAGGAAAGAAAGAGGAGACATAAACAGAAGATGCCTACATTCATAGAAACAATGAGAGGAGTAGTCAAATTGCCAGATTTGGAACCAAGCCCCCACACTCTCAGGAGATAATCTGAATGCAGGACCTTTGGTATGTGCATATTAAAACACATTCTGAAAAGATGTTTAAAATGTGTACATCTAAACATAAAAAGGGACAATTAAAATATTCTTTAATACTTTGCACAGAAACCTCAAGTAATAATGTACTATATGATAACTCTGATTTAAATGTTGAGTGCTTTAGGGAATGTAGCAAGTAAACACATCTTATAAACAACCTGTGGCATTGCCTTAATCTTTCAGTAATTACACATTCTGGATAGATGGTCTGCTTACAGTTGAGTAAAGATGTTGTGACCATGATATCCAGGTTAGCTACTAATTCATTTGCTTGGTCTAAGGAAGAAATAAACTTGTAACATGAAAAAGAAACACAGCAACAATTGAACCTATCTGGACCATGGGAATAATCTTTGTAATTATTGAATAGAGTAATTACAAATCAGAAAAAATTTAAAGAGTGCTAGTCAGAAAATAATACAGATGCTAATTTAAATAACAAAATCTCATATACAGTATACATTCCTACAGAGCACTGGAAATTCAGCATAATGTCCCTAAAACTATTGACAAATCTGATGCAGTGCTTAGAACAGTGTCTTGCCTCCAATAGTCACTTTCTAAATATTAATGAATAAACGATACATGAACGAAGGACTCTAAAGGGGGGTTTACTTTTGAACTCTATGTTCAGAGCTCTGTTAAATGGAATCGGTATTTGTTTCCCATCTTCTGTCAAATTTTGTTCGCATATCCCTTTTAAACCCTCACATGCCAAAACTTCCAAACCAGACCCTGAGACACCCTTCTCACTGTTAATCTGTTTCATAAAGCCAACAGCTGCTGGTAGGTGATGATCTGGAAATTACTCTTTTTTGAGAGTCATATAATGCAACTAAAATCCGAGCATAGATTGTTCTGCTTTTGTATGAATGAGGGTAATTCTTAGTTTTGAGATGAAGCTCAAACCCTAGAACATGGGGATTTTAAAGGCATATGCAACTAGAGTGTGATAATTAATAGGGTGGAGGTAAAATAGATTATCCAAACTAATATACTTTTGAGAATGAAGAGGGTACTATCAATAATTACTTGGGGACAGGAAGTGTAAATTGGGATTGTTCAGGGATACCGGGAGATAACAACAGATATCACCATAAGCCTTTAAGGTATTTTTCAAGATTTGGTAGAGATGATTTGTCATTTCCCTCTTTTTCCATTTAGGCAGTTATTTTAGATTTGTTCTAATTCAAAGGTAAAAATCTATATAGTGAAGTTCTGAATGCAACTTCTTTGATGTTAATTTTCAACTAGTCATCAGTTGACCATTTATTTTCTAATATTAAGCATATTTTATATGGAGTTTGAGTAGGTTTTTTTTTCCTACCTTCTTTCTTGTTTCATGCAAGTTTCTTAGTTGAGATCAACATTACAAGAAATATTGCTGAAAGCTTTAAAAATACTGCTATTTATAAATTATATGATAACTCCTAATACTGTAACATTTCAGGTTTCTACTATGTCATAATCATGTAAATGACTCCAAAGGTCTTTCCTTAAAATATGCTCTAGATTTTTAACTCCTTTAGGCTTCAGGATTTTTTTTTGTCTTTTTTTAATTTGTAAAGTGTGGCTTCTAGGACCTTTCTCACCTATTTTAAAAGGTTGTTATGAGTTTAAACCAGGCAATGGATGTGCGACTCTTTGTAAATTGTACAAGATATGTAAATTAAAGAGATAATGAATTTTGGTGTTGTAATAAACATCTACTTATGTGACTATTCACAAGGAAAACTCCCTTAATCTTAATGGGTTTGCAAGTACGTATTCCTTCCACCACATTTTTAAAATTTAGCTGCTTTTAACTGAAAAAGTAACATATGTATATACACAAAAAAATCTCAAACACTGTGAAAAAGTTTAAAAAATATTAAATCTTCATCATCCCAGATACCTAGTCCTCTACTTCTCTACTTTAGAGGCAGTTCCAATTACTAACATCTTGTGAAATTTTTCAGAAATAGTCTATGCGCATATAAGCACATATGTTCGCCTTTTAAAAACACATGGAAGTCTACTATACACTATGTGTTTTTCTTACTCTTTTTAACATAAGAATATACCTTGAATACTGGTTCATAGCACACAGATTGACATTCCGCCCTTCCCCCCCCACAGTTGTGTTGTATTTCATTTTATGAACTGCCATTGATATTTAATTTGTCCCTTTTTTTCAATCACTTCCTAAGCCATTTCTGGTCCAATGAGTCTCTGCAGGTAAATAGCATGAATTGATAACCCAAACCGGATAAATTCCCAACCAGTACTTAAAAAGTCTTCACCTTAGGAAGTATTTGGGAGGATAAAAGTAGATGCTCAGAATCTAGGGCTGATGTCAGAAATAATGGAGGAAGACTATGATCCTGATTTTCTTATATAATATCTACACTGACCTCTGGATAATTGAGGGAAAAATAAAGATGACCTTTTAAAAGGACATCTCAAGAGTAGATCCTTCAAATACAACAAATCTGGTATTAGAAAACAAATTCTGTTTTGTTATTTTCTGGAAAAGATTAGTAAACTATCTGATAATATTTCCCACGGGAGCAGTATTTTTTAAATTGTAGGTTGCCACTCATTTAATAGGTCATGAGATCAGTTTAGTGACTCATGCCCTACATTTTGTAAAATCACAGAATAAAAAGGAAAAATCTTAGTGCATCATATGTAGCATTTTATGAAACCTGACAATATTTTCTTCTACATGATGCATGCATACATACATACACAATGTCTTAGTATGCATATTCTAAAATATGTAAAATATTGTTCTGACTCATTGTAGTAAAAAAAGATATGAAAGCCATTGGTTTAGAAAGCATTATAAAACATTTTTCCTGCTAGTAATCATTTCATATTCATTTTCACATTCCCTTTTCTCTTTACAAACCTTTAAGTTTCTTTTCCACTTTTTTTAAAATCATTTTTTTAATTTATTTTCAGCTTAACAGTATTCATTGCTTTTGTACCACACCTGGTGCTCCATGCAATCCGTGCCCTCTCTAATACCCACCACCTGGTTCCCCCAACCTCCCACCCCCCCCAACCTCTTCAAACCCTTCAGATTGTTTTTCAGAGTCCATAGTCTCTCATTGTTCACCTCCCCTTCCAATTTCCCACTTTTGAAGAGGTAGTTTAAAGAAAAAAAGAAAGAAATAGTGGTGTGTATATAGGGAGTTAGGGAGAAAAGACTGGTGCTGGGGGATGGGTTTCTGGATTTATTTGTGCTACAGTAAAAGAGCCTAGGTAACACTGTCACTCTTAAACAAGAGGCTATCATGGTGGTGCTGGTGACTGTGCTGGGGGTTCAGGATTTCTTTTTGGTTGCATGGGTTACTCCACATCTGGCTGTTAAAACTGACTCTCATCAGCTGTCTTATCCTTTCCACTTAACCCAGGAATTCCTTCCCCACCTGCTCATACCACAAATCAGGAAATGTAGTAAGGGGTTTGTTTGTTTGTTTATAAAATATATTTCCAAAAAAGAGGTTATAAAAAGATAACCTTTAGAGAGTTATACCTAACCATATAAATACATTTTATATTATTAACTGAAATGGGATTTCCCAGAAGTCAAGATTGCTTTATGGTTTGTAATGGAAGTTTTGAAAAATTTTAGACCAAAATAGCTAGGAACAATTTTCCTCTCCCTAAAAGGAGCAGGAACAGAATAGAATAGTTCAGTCATAGATGAAAATATCATTGTGTTCTCACAGGAGTCCATTCACTGCTGCTAGCAAGCAAATCCTCTAGAGAATGAAACAAGTCAACAACACAATGTTCCCAATAGGGCTTTTGGGTTCACATGGTAAAAAATAAAAGTCAATTCCTACAGGGCTCTCATGTAGCTTTAAAAAATGGTATAAAGTCTAAACATCAAGAATATGTTAGACGTTGTGTGTTTTCTATTAGTTTGCATAGTCCCAACTCTGCTGAGACACTGTATTTTACAGATAACTTTATCAGAAGATGCTTCTTTTCCTCCCAAGTCTGTTCTTTTGGCCTTTGCCCCTGGCTATAGCCCTCCCCTCCTTTACGCTTTCCTTCTTTTCCTCCCTAGTATTTTTCCCTTCAAAGAGATGAACTGTGGTGAGGCAATGCTTTGTGCTTTGCAGAACTTAATTCCTGGGTATCTCCCTGTGTGAGGCCCCAGGCAAACTCCAGAGTCAGGAACTGCTAGGGTTGAGCTTGTAACATCACTGGCCCTTTCTCCTGCTCCCAGATTTCAGTCAAAACCACCTGGGACCCAACTCCCACTCCCTAGTATTTTCCTTAGTTGAATCCATGGAATCTTTCCTTGCTATCCCAACTCCATCTCCCTATCTTCAGACCAATCTGAACTGAAGGCAGAAGATGCTTAGGTTGTAACACATGTGGCATATTTACTTTTTGTCTTACCCTGATTCCAGTCAGTAGACCTTTATGCTGTCCCCAAATGACAGCATTGATCTTTCTAGTTGGGCTCTGCACAAAATTTCTCCTCACGTTCTAGTATACTGATTAGAACTGTTCCAGCCCAGTCTAAGATCACCAGCAAACATACTGTCTGTCACAATTAGGCTTCCTGACCCAATGAAAGAAGGAGACTGTATAAAGAGCAGCCTCAGGTATCTCAGCAAACAAAGAAAAAGAACTGTTACAGAATTTTTCGGAAAGGGTGAAATTTAGGTAATATTTAAATGAAGCAGTTTTCAAAAGGCTCAAAGCAAGGCAGGACTGTGGCTAATGGACTCATCATCAGGTTTGGACTCTGAAGTGGATCCAGGTTCCAGTGTTCTTGGA